TTCCTAGGGCCACTGTCCTGCAGAGTTTAGTTCCAACTCCAATTAAACAAACCTGAGCCAGATAATCGAAGGGTGTTTCTCAAATTGAAGGCTGCATCATACGAAGGCTGCATTTCTCAGCAGCCATGTCATCAAAAGTCGCTGAAGGCTGTCTTAGTAGGAAGGATCCTGGAGCCTTCGTTTCACGTCCTTCATTCAGCTGAATTTGAAGGATGCATGGGATATATCCTTTGTGACCTTTAATCACTCACAATCCTTTGTACACATTCCAGTTCACGAAAATAAACTGACGGAAAACGAGTCAGTACTGAACTTGTATGAATCTATTATGAAATATAAGACAAAAATAATGTATCCGGACATGAAAGCATAGATGTTATCTTTTGTTTTGGTGTAAATTACTCACCTACCACTAAACTACCAATAATGCAAGCCACTGGCAGACTGTAAATGGCTGTAATTCATTGTATTGAAAAGTGTGTTGGAGCTGTTTAAAGTTACACTGAGCAGGACATTGGCCCTCCAAGAGCAGGATTGGACCCCACTGTCATAAAGGTTGGAATGACAGGAGGGAGTAAGCAATGTCAGAAATTTCATGTTTGATTAAACTATCACTTTAATGTTATTTTCTACATATACTAATTAATCTTTATTGATGAATAATGTGGTTTCCCAATAAATTCAAAGCAGTTGTTGTAGGAACAAGATACAAGCCATACTCAGCACCCACAGCCGGGCCTTATCCTTTCTGTTTACGGACGTAACCATGTAAAGGCGATCTCTTCCATAAACGCTACTACACATTAATTATTCTTCTTATTTCTGGAATTAGGTTCAATAGTCATCATGTTTAAATCACTGTCAGTGTCTGGATGAAAAAAATATTGTAAAGAAAGTAAAGATGAGACTATGTGATGATCAAGCAATGGACACGGTGCATGTACAGACTGTCTGAGCTCTTTCTGGATGTCAAAATCTGTCTGAGCTCTGTCTGAATAAATAAAGCTTTTCCACCAGTTTGAGCACAAAGAATAAAGGTGATACAATCTTTCTGACCAAGGTTATATTAATAGTCTAAATATTTTCCATAATACACTTAACATGAATAAAATCATTTGGGTGTTGGCTGTTCTTGCATTCTTGGAAAATGTTTTTATATCTTGTTGAGGATGTGCTGCAATACATGAAAAATGTGAGCATTCCTACTGAAGTTATGCTTGATTATTACGCTCTATATTGTGAAGGTCAACAGATGGTTAACATCAGGAGGATGGAGAACAGACAAACCCTGTGAAATGTTTCCACAGGTTCTCAGAAATGATATATTGCCTTTTTGGTGGCACTGTATAAATCTGTTTAGAAAACAAACCAAACTGAGGTGGATTTTCCTTTTGACCAGTTAGACTGACCTCAGAAGGACCAAGATAAACAGAAATACATTTTCATGAAACACTCTCTATGTCTTCCTATTTCTGTTAAGATGCTCCAGGGCTGGCTAAAATACAAATTGACCACAATGTGCATTGGTTATTGAAGGACCACTGAATGTGCCTGCATAGTGACACAGACCTCACACTGGCCAATGGGATTTCTGTTTATGTCATTGCTACGAGTACTGGAAATGAAATATGACTTAAAGAATAAACCTATTTATGTGTATGCAAGACCAGCTTTTGGTGGGAAGAGCTTATTTAGGTTTAGCTCAGTTTAGGTTATTACTTAAAACTTAAGGGTATGCTTAGGTACACATAGGTTACTAAGTAAATAAACTGCACAGTTTGCTGGTCCATGTGCACATTGTGAGTCAGACACAGATACTTGAGAACTGAACTGAGCTGATGATGACATCACTGCTTTCTCCAGAGCTGCTCATCAATTCATTAATTGTGGAATGTGTTTAATTAATCTATTCCACAAGGTCATTCCATAATTGATGAACTTTACATGAATCAACAATGAACTGATTTCAACTGAATAATGACTGTTTACTACTGTCTTTTAAGAGCTGCTTAAAAGCAGAATCATTCATTTCCTGTTTAACACCATAATGCTGCTTTGAAACAATCTGTATTAAGCCCTTAATTGTATAATTATAGCCCTATATAAATAAAGGTGACTTGACTTGACTAGATGTTTAAGCCATTTAAAGGCATAACGGCTAGATACACAAAGCATTGCAAGGCAGTTCATTGGTGTTACACCATTGAGCGACACTGGTCCTGACACACGTGTCACAAATATGCAGTTTACTGGCTATGTATGTCCAGTTGTAGCAGCAGTGGGATCAGAGCCAATCAGCCCTATATGCTCACTACGCAAGTTGAGTAGGGCCTTGTAAATTAGGCAAGGCCCTGCATCCCCCTCATGTCAAAGCAGAGCGACACTATAAATCCGGTGCAGAGTAGAGGAAAAGTAGGAAAGAAGGTGAGCAAGATTAAGTGATGGATTTTATAATGCTGATGTTGAAATGAGGGTTGCTGCATAATGTTTTGTCGATTTAATTCGGCATTTCGTTAGCGATTTGAAGACCTTGTGCCAGTGTAACAACAGTGTCAGTGTTGTGCACGGTGTTATCCTGGGCACTTCAAAATAAGTGAATAATTCTAGATACCTTGTTATCCGAATTTGTTAGATTTTTAGAATGCATATTGTTTTTTTTTATATATTGATATATTCAAATTTGCGACCAGTTAAATTTGACAACACTGCGTGTTTGCTGCGTGAAAATTCTGTCTGATTTTCGCATTGATCAGAACAAAATCAGCAGACGGGCTAAACAAAAATGCAGGTTCATTCTCTGACAGGAGGTGGTGTTTATGGAACAGCGGAAATACAGCCGTTACCATGGTTACCCCTCCACACAAAGCAGCGCTTTCTGTCTACTTGTCACAGAGAAGAAAGGAAATCAAAACAGTATTTACATGTTTGTTTGCACATATATATATTTGCATTTTAATCTGGACAAAAACATGCCAGTCTTTTAGATGTATTATTATTATTATTATTATTATTATTATTAGGATTATTATTAATAATAATTGATTCTCTATTGTAATTTTCATAATGCATTGTCAGGTGTCTTTGCTTTATTAAAGCATTAATAAATTCTCTGAAAGTAATGGTTAAACGTTTATAATTTTACACTTTTTCTTAAGTAAATCTTCATAATTATATCTTGAAAGATAAATCTGAGTAAGACCATTTTATAAAACTTTACAATAAGGTGTCAGTGTATGCACACTGGAGGATGGGGGGGTTAGGAGAAATGGTAGATAGTGGGGGCCCTTTTTGAAAATATGCGTAGGCCTCCAAAATGATAGAGCCGGCTCTGAGTGGGATACCGTTACATTCCTCAATAGACGTACCATTATGGGATGATATTGTCACGGTTCATGGGCTCACTGACTCATTCTTGCCCTCTCTGTGTCATTGTGGGTATGGGTGTGGTTTGTGTTGCCGGTGATCAGCGCCATCAGCTGATTAGCGCCAGCTGTGGCTTATCAGCTGGCCTATTTAATGTCTGTGTTTTCTGTCCTGTGTTGTCAGATCGTTTGATGTTGTTACCATGTTCAGTTCGTGTCTCTCTGTTCTGACCAGTTCCTGGAGTTTCCTTCTCTCCTCTGCCGTGGGCTTCGCTGCACGGGTCCTCGAGCATCGGCTGCCCGTTTGTGTCCCTGCGCTACCCGGAGTTACCTTCACCTTTCCCCTGTCTGACTCTTGTCATCTTCCTTGTTGGGAATTCCTAATAAATGTTGTTTTTGCACATTCGCTACTGAATCCTCATTCTTTCTCCCAGACAGATATTAGACTCAAAATGATTAATAGATGCACGCACAATTATCCATGTACTGCATAAATTTATACATAAACATGTATCTTACTAACCACAAACAAATGCCTTTCAATTTGAGTCTGTGGAATTCGGGATTAAATGATTGTGCAGCGATTTGTACAAATACAGACATGTTTGTGAATAAAAATGTTCTGTTCTGCATTAATATATCATAAATTGCTCATGCAAAAAGGAATCCGTGCATATGTGGATCAGGTGACACGCGTGCATTAATTGACGTCTATTTCGAGTCGATCTTATTTGGTTCATTTGGATTTTGAGACTTCATTTTTGCAGTTTACAGCATTTCACGTCCCCCACACACACAACTGCCAATGAACAAGGCCCAGTTCAATTCATTAACGTGTACACGATTTGAAAAATTCGCAAATGTGC